TTTTTTTTTTTTTTTTTTCGGAGACTGCGTGTGTGTGTGTGTGCTCTTACCGGTGCACTTCTAGGGTTGTATAATTAGTGCTTGTGTGTGGTGGCACACGTTTGTGTGTGTGTTTGTGTGTGGCGGTAGTAAGGCCTTATCGTTGTATAGTAGTGTTTGTGTGTAGACATGAGTCCAACTCACGCCCACGGAGATGATCACCACGCGGAAGAGGAGGAGGGTCCACATGTTCCGTACACCGGTGAACGTCCACCGTTTGAGCGAATTCCAATGCCGTCAATGGCTTCAGAGGAGTATAAAGATACTCTACCGGCGTTTGATAGTGAGAAGCCAATGCCTCCCCCACGTAATATATTTGAACGTTTCTCACGGGTACTTCAGTTACAGTACGGACAGGATCCTGACATACCGATTTTGGGTAGTTCACTAGAGCGCAAATACGATAGTTGGTTTGACTACATTACGAGCCCAATTTCAGCATTGCGACCACGTAACTATGTGGATGCGTACACAAGACCGAATCCCTGTCCAGAGGAGTACTGGTGGGCATCATGGCGGTGGCCACGTACAAAGTACGTAAACGCAAAAGTACCTCCCCCTGTAGATGGAAAGTACAATGATTATTATCATTATTTGGCTTACAAAAATTGGTTGGAACGAGAGCGTGATGTTTATGTCTCACACGCTAACTTGGTTAACGAAATGACTATGCGATGCTTGATGAAAGAGGGACAGTACAATGCTGCAAAGAATTGTCGTCACTTATACAATAAAGCATTTGCCATGTCTCGTATGGAGGAACTCAATCAGGCACTACTATATATGGCGATTACAGGGAATGCAGCTATACGTGAGACTCCCTACCCCAAAAACTTTGTTGAGGAAAAACGGAAGATTTACGATGATTGGTTATTCCGTACCCGTATGAAGAAACCGGGTGATGTGGTATAGATAGAAGAAACTATATTAGGTATTGGGATGGTTGGGAATATGGGATATATTAGGAATATATTAGGGCTATTAAGGGTATTTTATTTATTTATTTATTTATTTATTTATTTATTTATTTTTTTAGTTTGTTTTTAAGTCAATATAGTGGTCTCTATCGTGAATGAGACAGCTCCCTTTCTATTTTATTTTATTTTGCTTTTCCCTTTCTGAAATAGGTAAAGGGAGAGAAATGAGGGTGGTGGTGAGATGAGTGGATTCTACCTTCTTTCTCTGACATTCTGCATATGTGATGTGGAATTTTGATAAATGATTAGTTGAAACGGAGAAGCATTTTAAGAGATTGTAGTGTAGTGTGGTTTAGTGTAGGGGGTATTGGTGGGCTCTCCACTTTTATGTGTACGTATTTGTCATTGCATTTCTCTGTAATGTGTGTATATGTGTATCTGTGTGTGTGTCTGCCTCTGTTGTTGTTTCTTTTCTCTCTATCTATGTGTGTCTTTCTGTATGTTTCTCTTCATCTCTGTTTTTATGTTTTATATTTGGAATTTTGTTCATATCTTGTATACGGAAAGGTAGGAACGCCAATGTATGCGTCATGGGAGGGGGAGGAAGATGAAAACGAGATAACCCTCCAGGAGTGCACGCGCATTCAGAAACTTTCTCGTGCCGTAGATGAACTTGTCGCGTGGGACTTCATTATGAATGAGAAAGAAATTATTCTTACAGAACTAGAAAAAACTATTGGAGTCGCTGAGGAAGCGATTTCTCAGGCAGGGAAATCACTAGAGTCTCAACGCCGACGTTGTGCACTTCTTCCAGTTGGTCAGCACGACATGAGTGAAGAAGGAGGCAAACGAAAGCCGATTGCAGCGAGAGGTGATAATCGTGAACTGAACGCACTGTGGAGCGAACACGGAAATAAGTTTATTGAACAATACGAACGACATTTGGCGAGATACAAACGAGTGTGGCGTGAGCTTTTAGAGGAAGTTGCAGTCAAAAATGATAATACTACTACTACTACTACTACTACTACTACTACTACTACTACTACTACTACTACTACTACCACCGTTAATGCTGTAGAAAGCAAAACCGACAAGAAAGCTGAAGTGAAGTAAAGAGGCGTGTGGGATATGTGTAGTGGTGAATTTTCACTTGTGGTATATCCTCTGCTCAGCGGTCTAATTATACTCAGACTTCTCTCTTTTTTCTTTCTTCACTTAAACAATTGAAGCGCAGAGGAAGAGAAGAACAGAAGAAAAAAAAAAAAAAAAAGGCTTATTGACAGACACATGGTCGTACGAGCAGTGCTTTTTATTATTATATATATAAAAAAAGAGAGGGATGAGAGCTATAGAATCCCACTCCCACGATTTGATATCATGATGAGATGATGTCATTTCATGCATTCTCTCTACCTCTTTCCCATTACTCCCATCTTCTCTCCTTTAACAACGTTCTTTTGAATTCTCTTTTCTTTTCTTTTTTTTTTTTTTTAAAATACTCTTTCGTAAGGTTAGAGGGGGGAGGTGAGGTTGTGGAACCATCATTTTTTTTATTTATTTTTATTTTTCTAGTAAAAAGACATAATCGCATTTCTCATATGAGCGTGGATCCTCTTATGGCCCTCAATGATGACCATCGGGAACTGCAGCGCTTACTGAAAGAAAATAGAGAACTTAGGAATGCTAACGCCTCACTGCGTGTTGCAGTGGAGTCAAAACGTGTTTGCAGTAATTGCAAAGGCAAGACTTCTGTTTCCGCTTCTTCTTCTACTTCAGCAGCAGCAGCAGCAGGTGGAGTTGGTACACTTGAAGGGGGAAAGGAAGAGGCTGGTCACTCAAGTGAGACGAATAGTAAATCATCCGGGAACTCGGTTTCTCTAAAAAAGATGAAAGAGGAGTTGCAGCGAACTAAAGAAGAACTAGAACGTACTCAACAAGGAGAACGACAAGTAAGTGAAGAATATAAGCAGCTAAAATCTTTATTTGAATCTTTTGTAGTAGAGGTATGTGAACGAGAAGAGGCATATAAACTTGCCTTTCTGAGGGCTTATGAGAAGATAGAGGAACAAAAAAGTTTAGCGGAGAGTTTACAACGACAGTTAGAGGAGCGACCACCACCAACTCTCATCTCAGAGACACCAGTAACACCAACACCCCCATTACCATTACCAGCATCATCATCACCGCCTGTAGTTAATGGTTTAGATCCTTCTTCTTTACACGATCTCGTGGATACACTTAGGACGTCACTTAGTGAACTTGAGTTTCGTTTGGGTTTTAACGCAGATACTAGTAACCGCCAAATCGCACCGGTTGCTGTATCGCGTGCAACACGAGGTAAAGGACGCTCAGCGAAGTCCGTCCATTCCTCACAGATGGAAAACTCAACTCATAATCCTCAACTGACAGAGAACGAACCACAAAGAGAGTTACAATCACTAACCTCAACAACACCAACACCAACACCAACACTACTACCACCACAACCAATGAAAAGAGAAGGAAACCAATATCAAGAGTCACAAAATAAATCACAAGAGAATCTGAATAAACCATCTGTGGTGGAACCGGCACGAGGTGCTGGTGTGTTGCGTAGCTCTACATTGTCAAGCTCACACAGTACAACTACTGAACGTAAAAAGCGTGTAAGAAAAACACGTGGGGAAACAGAAACAGTAAAACGTCAAGCTGTGGAAGGACCCTCTGAAAGTAGTGCTGCCTCACTTTTTAAAGGGTTTACTCGTACTACAGAAGCCCCGAAGTTATCTGTGGTAAATTTTGGAACTGAACCTATTGCAGATTATTTAGCCCTTCTGGAGAAGACAGATACACATGGGATTGATATTCTTCGACGTGAACTGATAAAGTTTTGTGCTTCTAACCTAAATATACTGGCATCATACGCGGTAGAACACTTCCTTAGCAAGTCTTCTCTGTTAGCTTCTGCTGTAACACTTTGGAAGCATACAGAGCGGGTAATGCATATAAGTAAGGGTGTATTTGAAGCATTTATAAAGGAAGCTGTTAGAAAGATGGTGCATCTTCTTAGCCCTGAAGGTACAGAACCGGTTGATCACAGTTCACAACTGCGTTGTTTGGCGCTTGTTGTGCGAATGGCGTGTGCAGTCCAGCTGCGAGAGACTGATCAAGGTGAGGAAGCACTTTTTGTGGCTTTTTACGAATGTACAGTGAGTACATTACGTGCGTGGCGTCTTGGAACTTTAGTGAGTGGACAACAACATGTATTGGGTCCATGGATGTTGACTGTTCGACACCTCTGCGGATTTGTAGAAGATTTTCACATGGTGATGCATTATTATGCTAATTTGGAACATGTGCTTAATGCTCTTACAATACCCAAATCTCTTACACGCTATACTATTCAGGCAGTGATGTCACTTTGTTACTTTACATCTTCTTCAGAGTCTTTGACTCCTTCAGTGGGAAAAAGTGGAGATATTGAAACTTGGATGTCATTCTGTGATGCTATGGATTGGAGTTATAATGAATTGCCACTTGACATGATTGTCTCTGCAGCTGCGAGGCTTCTTGCACAATCTAATGATGCATATAAACATGGAGAAGCACTTCTCTCACTACGTCTACTAGTGTTACAGAAAGGTTTTGGTCTTCTTCAACCTCTTATGGAGGAATTACGATCTTCTGGTGGTGAAGTAGATGTGGATGCCGCATTTGCGGAGTTGTTTAGCCTTGCAGTGATTGATTTGCAACTGGAGGATCCTCGTGATGAGCAATGGTGCCGAGCCATGGCATTCTTTTCTGATTACTTAAGTACATGTTCAGTAGAACGAGTAAAGTCAGCAGAGGAGCTTATTGCTGCTTGTAAGGACACACATCTGTTGGTCCTGCGGGCTGTGCTGCAATTGTGCCATGGTGCCAATGCGGTAACAGAGAAGAGTGTGGTGCATTTAACAAATATACTTTCGTGGGCGAAGGCTTTGCAAATAGTGCTCGCCCGCTCCTCTCGTGAGAATGAAAACGCTATCGTGACACACCCACTTCGCAAGACGGTTCTGGGGAGACAGCTCCTCTACTTATCTCAACAGGAACTGTAGTTGTGCTGCTGAGGGAAAGGGAACGATGCAGGAAAAGAAGAAGGAAAAACGAAAAAAAAAAAAATTACGAAGGAGGAAGGAAAAGAGAGGAAAAAGAAAAAAAAAAGAAAAGAAGAAAAAAATGCAGAAACTTAATGTTAAATTCTTTCTATTTTTGGACAACGTTTCCATTTCCATTTTTGCATTCCCATTTTCCTTGTTTATGTTTGTGCTTGTATACTGTATTATGCAGAGATGATGCCATCTATAATCAAAATAAACAGACTAAATCAAATCAAAAAAATGCGTATCTCTCTTATGGTGTAAAAAAAAGGCTATCAGACTCATAAAAAACAAAAAACAAACAAAAACAAAAACAAAAACAAAAAAAAGATGGTGCTCTTGACGGTGAAGGGCACAACGTTTCCGGACGAGTTTATTTATGAATGCACAACCTCGACTCCTATTTCCCCTGAATTGGCCCAACAAATCTGCCATATCCAGAATGCCCGTCATCAGGTGAAGCTTCAGTTACTCTCCGCCCGTGAACTTCTTAATGAGGCCAGTCAAAAACAGAAGGTACAAGTTATGGATAATAACAATGATAATGATAATGATGATAGTAAGAATGTACTTTCAGAGTATGAACGCGTGGTGGAAGAGGTGTCCACACGCTTGAAGGATAAGACCACACCTGTTACATTGGACGAGTTTGACCACTACGCGGAGAGGCTGCGGGAACTGACAGAAAAATTATTCCCAGCGGAATGCCGTGCGCCGGAGGGTGGAGATCGTGCGGCGGCCGTTGAGCATCTCTACGCCCTGCACGACAACCCCGACATTGACGAAGACCGCCGTCTCGTCATTTATCACTGCCGCGCCATTCTCGACACCCACTGGAAGCGGCATGAGATGCAGCCGGAGGAGAAGGCCGGTTTGTGGTTCTGCGGGAAGTTGATGGAGGGGGAGATCGCAAAGTACAGCGGGCGGAATGAGAAGAGTCGTCTCACTGTGAAGGTGCATGCACGTGATGGCCCACCACCAGCGATGGAGCCACGTATTAGTTACGATGATCAACGGGCTTTATTTGAGCGAATGCGGCAGCGGCGTGAGACGTACAAAACACTAGAGGCCTCAGAACTGCGAGATCGTGTGTTGGCACAATCACGCGGTAAAGTGTGGTTAGATGCACCAAATGCCGCAAGTAGTGTAAAGGTGGATGCATCACGTCTGCGGCCAATTCATCCTCAGAAAGAGGAACGAGAAATTGTATAATGTTTGAGAGAGGAATGTGTGTGAAGAAGAAGAACGGGAAGAAGAAGAAGAAGAAACGATAATAATGATAACAACAACAACAACAGTTAGGTGTGTTTGTTTGAGATGGAGAATGAAGGTGTAAGCGAGGTACACTGATCTTAATTTTGATATGTGTTTTTCTTTTTTTGTTGTTGTTATTCTCGACTTTTTATGCTTTTTTTTTTTCTTTCCTTTGTACGAGAACCGTTTGGGTTCACTTTATTCAATTGAAAGCACTAATAAATCTATACAACGAATTCAAGTGGCTATTTGTTTTATTTTATTTTACATTGCTTTACTTTGCTTTTCTTACAAAAAAAAAAAAGCCTAACCTTTTTCTCCTTCCTTCTTTCTCCTTCTCCCTTTCTCTCCTTGTTGCACGAACAACACTATCAATAAAGAACAAGGTGTCAGGAGAGCGGATACATAGACGGGATAATCACATTCTTGTTCCCACAATCTTTAAAAATGACAACATCTCTTAAGGTTACGGCAAAGGAATTGCGAGAAACGGCACTGCAGTTAGCAGAGGCACATGGACTGCTACCAGATGAGTTACCAAGCCGCACTGAGGCTTTGTTACTACTAGCTGTTGCAGCACTTAAAGAGATCGAGGCGGATGAGTCTTCATCATCGGAGATTGCGACTGATGCGAAGAGCGCAAGACACATTCTGCGTTCACACCTACCGCGTAAAAAGCGAGAACGAGTAGATGAACTCCCTGACGAACATGACACTACGGATAGTAATAATAATAATAATAATAATAATAATAATAATAATAAGAATAATAAGAGTGACAAGAAAGAAGAGGATGACGTTGATCTTGGACAGTACGCCAATACGGATGTGTTTGATGGAAATACGAAGAAACGTGCCAAGTTTGCTCGCCTAATGGGAGGTGGGAAACACGAGGGAACACATCACAACACTTTTGCGGCGGATAAAAGTACATTAAAATCCATCAATGGTGCACTCGAGGAACAATTCAACAATGCTATTACTAGACATGGGAAAAAAGGACTTGGTGCGTAATATGTGTAAGGACGATTCAGAGAATATATAAATATATATGATGCTTATTGTATGGAGTGTTTACATGGTGTAGATTTTCTTGTTATAATAAAGAGTTCACCCGATATGGTTATTTGGCTCGATTTCACGAACCAATGTACTTATTACTACTTGGAGGTCTTTTTCATTCTTTGAAGATGGATGTGTGGGTCCTTGTTTAAAACCTAATTTCATTAGGTGCCCAAACGACGGATCTTTTCATATATATATCAAAACAAAAAAAGGAAAAGAAAAATGATACATCGTGTTCTCTTGTAGATCTTCTCTGTTTCCTCTTTCTGTGTTTTCAGAAAGGAGTCTTCTGTGTGTGTGTGTTAGTGAGGAGGAGATTTTGGTCGTTTTGTTTTGTTTTTGTGTTTTTACGCAGCGAGTAAACTATAACATTCAAACATACAATGTTATTTCTGTGTCTCTCTCTCTATATATATATGTTAAAAAGAAAACAAAAAGCAGTTCAATTCTAGTATTAGCAGCTTAAATATCATGGGAAGAGTATGCTATTAGTTTCATTTATTTAATTATTTTATTTTTTATGCTTTCTCTTATTCTCTAATCACTGACGGTGTTGCTTTTATATAAATCTTAGAAGTTCAATACGGTGCGCCCTGATAACACAAGGCAAGCCGTCCCGCACAATAAAAGAAAACAACAACAATCAGCAAACGGAAGAAAAAACAAAAAAACAAACAAACAAACAAACAAGAGAAGTACACAGTCAATAGTTATCCAAAAAAAAAAAAAAAGGAATCGGGAGATCGAAAAAAAAAAAAAAAAGTAAAAAAGAAGAAAAACATCAATTAAATATGATGCGTCGTTTGCTTTCAACGACATCATCTGTGCCACCGCAGCTTGCCGTTCTGCGTGGCTCCGCGGTCTCTTCGCTGTGGCTCTCACAACAGTCCCGCAGTCAATCTGATGTTCCCGAACGCCGTTTATTATATGAAAACGATAGTTTCTTAAATGGCTCCTCCGCCATGTATCTCGACACGGTTTACCAGAACTGGAAGGCAGACAGAAACTCGGTGGACCCTTCATGGGATAAAGTTTTCTCCGCAAGGGAACTGCAGGATTATGAAAAGCCTATTTTAAACGCACCAATTCGTGTGATACCAACAACCTCAGCAGATGATACAACGGTTAAGCAATCACTTGATGACTGTGGAAGACTTACATGGATGATTCAAGCTTTTGAAGATCGTGGTCATTTAATGGCTTCTACAGATCCATTAAACTACGAAAATGATGATCCCACACGACGTACTCCATCGCGTAGGTTTAGAGAATTATTACGTCTTGATTTGGGTTTCTTTGGATTTACACCAGATGATTATAACCGGGTGGTACGTGTTGGATTTCAAGATGAGGTTGGTGGAGTACTGAACACGAACAGTCGACCAATGACGATTAAAGAACTTCATGAACACCTCACCAAACGTTATTGTGGAAAGGTTGGATACGAGTTATCGCATATTGTTGACAGAGAGTCTGTACGTTTCATGCGAGAGGCGGTGGAAAGTGAGGGAGGTCCTTACAATCCACTTCACCGCAGTCTCACTAAAGAGGAACGTCTATGGACATGGGATATTGTTGCCTCCGCTGTACACTTTGAAGACTTTTTCAAACGGAAATATTCTACTCAAAAACGATTTGGTGCAGATGGAGCAGAATCTCTTATTCTTGGTCTTCGTGCCCTTCTTGAGGTTTCTTCTAATCATGGTATTGAAAAGGTAAATATTGGTATGGCACACCGTGGTCGTCTTAATGTACTTTATCACGTTATTGGAAAACCTTTTCCTGTTTTATTGAAAGAGTTTATGGGTATCACAGCACCAGAATTAGAACCTTTTAAAATTCAATCAGATGTTAAGTATCATCTCGGAGCACGTTCTACTATAGATTTACGTAATGGAAAGAAAATGGCTACAGAAATGCTCGCTAATCCATCACATCTTGAGGCAGTAAACCCTGTTGTACAAGGATATACACGAGCGGAACAAATTTCATACAAGAGTGATGGACAATTAAAAGTTCTCCCTGTTGAAATTCATGGAGATGCGGCTTTCAGTGGTCAAGGTATCGCTTTTGAGTCTATGTGTATCAGTGAGGTTGGTGAATTCTCCACAGGAGGTACTATTCACGTGGTGGTAAATAATCAAATTGGGTTTACTACTGATCCCAAATGTTCTCGTAGTAGTGCTTATTGCACAGACCTTGGTCGTGTTTTTCAGTGTCCTATTTTTCACGTAAATGGTGATTCTCCTGAAGATGTGGTTCGTGTGTTTGAATTTGCTGCTGATTTCCGTGCTAAATTTAATAAATCTGTCGTTATTGATCTTGTCTGTTACCGCCGTTTTGGACACAATGAAAATGATGATCCAAGTATTACTCAACCACTTATGTACAATCGCATTAGATCCATGGGAGATTTGTTTGCCAAATATTCCGATGCATTAATTGCCGATGGTGTTATTACACAACAACAACGAACAGCGAAATCTATTGCAGAAAAGGAACGTTATGGTGCTTTTCAAAATGAAGCAAGTAAGGTTCATTACAGCCAATTTCTCAGATCATGTATCCCAGATTTATGGAAAAATATGAAGTACTCGGATGAATTGGGAAAAGTAAAGCTAGAGCCTACAGCTGTTCCTCGTGAAAAGTTACAACCTGTCTTGGATGCCCTTAAAACTATTCCAGAAGACTTTGCGGTACACCCCAAACTAAAGAGTGTATTGGATCGCCGTAATGAATCTCTTGAAAAGGGTGAAGGTATTGACTGGGGTGGTGCGGAGGCATTGGCATTTGGATCACTCCTCTTGGATGGCATTCACGTTCGACTAATGGGACAAGATGTGGAACGTGGAACCTTTTCACAGCGGCATGCTGTTTTACACGATCAGAAAAAAGTTGGTCATTACATTCCACTTGCACACATTCAAGAAGACCAGGCACCTTTTGTGGTGACCAATAGTCCTCTCAGCGAGTATGGAGCCCTTGGCTACGCTAATGGTTATTCCCTTAATGATCCCAACAGTCTTGTGATATGGGAGGCACAATATGGGGATTTTGCAAATGGGGCAGCTATCATTTTTGATCAATTCATCTCCGCTGGGGAATCCAAGTGGAATCAACAGCAGTCCGTGGTGGTTTCACTTCCACACGGTTACGATGGAAGAGGTGCGGAACACAGCAGTGGTCGTATTGAACGATTTCTACAAGCCGTATCGGAGGATGTGGAGACGCCCGCCTATTCTCAAGCAGAACGCGCACACCGTGTGAATATGGAAGTGGTGTACCCAAGCACACCAGCACAGTATTTCCATCTCTTGCGAAGACACGTACGTCGGGATTTTCGTAAACCACTGATTCTCTTCTTCTCTAAACAGTTCCTCCGTTCACCTAATGAGTCAAGTATGGAGGAAATCACCTCAGGTCAGTTTTATCCTGTTATTAAGGATACATCTGTACCTCCTGAAAAGGCCCGTCGTCTTGTTTTATGTACAGGACAACTTTATCACATTCTTCATGCATACCGTATGGCTAATGGAAAGACAGATGTAGCACTTGTTCGTATTGAAGAACTCTCACCATTCCCAGTGGCAGAGGTACAAAGTCTACTGAAGGAGTACAGTAACGCTGAATTAATGTGGGCACAGGAAGAACCCAAAAACCAGGGAGCATACTATCATGTGGAACCACGCATTGAATTTTACACAAAGGGCAAACGGGAGTTGTTGTATGCAGGTCGTGGTATCAGTGCCTCACCGTCTACGGGATATAAGAGCGCACATGATGTAGAGGAAAAACATATTTGTGAAGTTGTTTTTGCATAACGGACGTACATTTTACCTTTTTTTTCTTTTTCTTTGTTTACGATGGACGATATATGTACAAGCGTCCCTGACACTTATCAATGCACGCCTGCAATGATAGTAGAGCAGCGCATATAAAGGCACTCTAATTGGGGTACACTTTATTATCATTATCTCTATTCGTATTTAGTAGTAGTATTATTCGTATTTATTATTATTATTATTATTATTATTATTATTATTATTATTATTATTATTAGTCCATGTTTTTGGCATCCTTAAACTGCAAAACGAAAAAAAAAAAGAAAAAAAATAAGAAAGAAAAAAAAGTGAACATATTGTGATTGTAAATGGGTTATATTTGTTACTATGAAATTCGCTGGGGTGATGACCCACTGTCTTTTCTCATCCCCTCTCTTCTATATACATATCATTTGCACATGATGGGGTGATGATATTCATAACGATGATGATGATGATGGAAGAGTAAATGAGAGTTATTAAGCGACAGCAACGTGGATATCATATCAAGTGGAACGAGAGAAAAAGAAACGCGGAATAAACATAGGTACTTCTCTGCGTGAGGGATTATCCAATGTTTATATTTATCTATATATCTATATATATTTCTATGTGTATGTGTATATGTGCATATGCATGTATGTTGTTGCTGTAGTTTGGGTTTTTCTAGGAAGGTGTCTGAAATGAATGGTGTTTGAAGGCAATATTTGTTTTTGTTTTTTTTCCTATTTTTGACGCAGTTAGGTTTTTTCTCTTTATTTATTTATTTATTTTTGTTTTTTTTTTTTGCTCTTCACGTGTACAGAGGGTATATCGGAATACTGTAGACATGGAAGAAAAGGAAAAGTAAGAAATTACAAGAGGGGGAGTGGGTTGGGAGAGTATATTAACCCCTCACCCAGTTAAAGGATAAACTGATGGAAATACTGAAGACATTACAATGAATACTTGTAATCCGTATACTCTTCTGAAAGTGTGGTGGTGAAAACATGTGTATTAAGAAAAGAAAATGACAAGAAGACGGAATATAATAATAAAAAAGAAAAAAGAAAAGAAAAAAAAAGTGAAGTGAATATATACATATATATATATATATATATTTCTAGTGTTTTTGCGTTATGTGTGTTGAGAAGCTACTGATTTTCTCATGCTTACGCTTCTATTCCAAGGAGGAAGACGTACATCTCTCTCTCTCTGCATACGAAAAGCAAAAAAGCAAAAAAAAAAAAAAAAAAAGAAAAAAAAAAAAGAAAATGAACATCCATCTTTAATAAATACATTCTTTTTCCTTTTCTTCTTTTCTTTTTTTTTCTTTTTGAATTGCACCACCCTTACCTCTGTTTTATTTTTCTAGCTTAAGTGGAGGAAGAACAGTACTTTTATATTAATATATAAAGGGAAGAAAAAGGGGTTAGTGACTTGGGCTTTTTCTTTCAATCGCTTGTGGTCTACGCGTTTTCTCACTGCGTACGATCAAACAAGTTGAAATACTCCAAAAGTGGAGTACACACAAGAAGGGAGGAAAAAAAAAGAAAAAGAAGACTAGTGAAAGAGAGAGAGAGAGGAGTGGAAGTTATTAACGACGAAAAGAGCAGGTCCCTTCGTTCCCCATACATTCTTCAACACATACATATATATATATATATACATATATACAGTAAAGTAACAAATACGTATATATTATTTATTTAGTCAAAGAAGAAGAAAAAGAAAAAAAAAAAAAAAACAGGAAAAAACAAGAAACAAAGCATGTTGAAACGCTCATTCCCTCTGTTGAATATTACCAATCAGAAGGTGTATGAACTCCGTGTTTATGATATTTTACCAGACAAATATGATACTTTTCACCGTATTTCAATGGATCTCTTGCCCATGCGTGCCTCTGTGAGCCGATGCCAGGGGTACTGGGTAGTGCAGATTGGTGCCCTTAACCAAATGGTACATTTATGGGAATATGATTCACTCAAACATCGATATGATATACGTAATGGATTGGAAAAGAATGAAGACTGGAAGCGTCGATACTCATACCCGCGTCAGGAGTGTTTGTCATCACAGACAAATATGTTAATGCGTATGATATACCGAGAGGGCACGGCTAGCACATTAAGTTATAAATACTTGCTAAAAGTTACACCACAGAAGGAACTAATTCTTACCTCGCCTGGTGTAACACTGGCGGCTTCGTATATTGTCACAACCGGTGAGCATGAGGGGAAATATTTGCATCTCGTTAAGGGAAAGATGTTGGATGATCTCATGCAGGTGGAGCCCACGCAGGGAAGTATCTCAAAGATCATGGGGCCCGCACGTTGGTCTGCCTCCATTGGATGCCTCTGGCGATGATAGGTATATATAGATATACATACACAAAGATATATATATATATATAGTTAGTTAGTTAGACTCGGCGGTAGTGTTGAAATGTGCAGTAAGAAGAAGAGGATGAGGATGAGGATGAGGAGGAAAACATGAAAAACGAGCAAATAAAGAATCAAGGAACGCGGAAGTGGAGGCAAAGAAGAAGAAAGAAAAAAGAAAAAAAAAACAAAAAAGTAGCGAATGTGACAATTATGCAATGCTGGGTTTGAAAAAAAAAAATACCGGGAGTAAGCGAAGTGACGGCCATAAAAGGGGAAGAAGGCGGTACTCCCTTTCCCTGCGAACGAAAACGACAACAAACAAACAAACAAACAAAACAAAAAAAAAAGAGAGAAATGGACTCGTCTATTTTCTCATTTGCATTATTGCTGATCTTTTTCACCTCGTCTGGTTCGTTCTTTTTCTTTTTTTTATTTTGTTTTTCTTCTAATTAATTCTATCTATTTATCACTCATGTAATCTATTTATTTCTCTTTTTTTTTTCTTTCGTTTTCTAATAATCCCTTTTCCATTTTTGTAAAAGGGAGTATTTGTAGCCTTCTGCAGTTCACAGAAGACTCCTCCCATTTCGAAAATAATAATAATAATAATAATAATAATAATAATAATAATAATAATAATAATAATAATTACACAAGGGGGGATAAAAAAAAGAGAAAAGACCGTATCCATTCACGATGGGACTGCTGCGTTTGAAGAAGGAAGTTCTCTGCACGAGTCTCAGAAGTCGCAGCATCTTTTTTCCTTCTCACATATCTCACTATCAAACGTCCTTGTATCCACAGAGAAATTCTTTATTTGACGCTGTCTATGTCATCAATCTAGATAGACGACCAGACCGTTGGACGTTTATTTCAAAACAATTGCAGCGTGCGGGGTTTCGTGAAGGGGACTACAAACGTTTCTCTGCTGTAGAGGGAAACAAGATTGATGCTCACAAGGCCCATGCGTGTGGTCTACTCTCACTATTAGGGTTTCTTCGTCTGCAGGAAGAGGAATCCCACCGCATATGGGGAATGGATCTCAACAAGGGTGCTGTTGGCTGTGCACTGAGTCACGTGATGGTGTGGGCCGCAATCGCAGCGAGGCGTCAGCGTTGTGTTCTTGTCGTGGAGGATGACTCTCTTTTCCCTGTGAACTTTCACCAACAGTATGAAGAACGCATGCGAAGAGTACCAGACGACTGGGAACTGGTGTATGTGAGTGGATTAGACACGGCTGGGCAGGCATCTATGTTGCGAGTAGCGGAAGGTGTTAGTCGTGTGCCGCAAATGCATCGAACGACCAATTGCTATGTTATCAAGCATGAAGGTGCACGTCGTTTGTTGGATTTGTGTTTGCCCATGACATATCAATTAGATACAATGATGACATTGCATGTTGGAAGCGATACTAATAATAATAATAATAATAATAATAATAATAATAATAATAATAATAATAATAATAATAATAATAATAATAATAATAATAATAATAATAATAATAATAATAATAATAATAATAGTGGGCGTGGTTCTGTTGTTGGTAGTGGTGGTGTGCCGCATGTTGTGATGCCTGTCTGCTATACAATGCAGCCTCCTCTTGTTGTGCAGGCCACACGATTGGGCTCCGACATTCAGTCAAGTAATGGAAGAGATGAGAAGGAAGAGGAACGGGAACGCTGTCGGGCAGCAGGATGGAATATAGATGATCTAGATACATAGAGAGATATATATTCCACCCTTTTATTATTATTATTATTATTATTATTATTATTATTATTATTATTATTTATTTGTAAAAAATCTATCTGTATATTTACGGTTTTATGGTTTTTTTTTTCTCAATCTTACACCTAAAGAATATATATATATATATATATATATATATCGTTGTACGGTTTTCACGTCTTTACATACATCATGTCCTGTTTTATTTATTATTATTATTATTATTATTATTCTTTTATTCTTTTTTTTTATTCTGCATATATATAAATACATGTAGCGTGTTCCACGCAACGAGTAAAAGAAAAAAAAATATTATTTGGTGTTAGAAAGACACGTCAAGCAAAGATTAGGGTGAGATATATAATAATATAATATAATATATATTTATATTTATATTTATATTTGTAGAGGGACAGACTTGAGAGAGTGACCGTCGAAAGAATGAATATTTTCGACAAGATGTTCAAACGTGAGACGCCGGAGGAGCAGGCAAAGATTTGGCGGCGGCAGCTCAACTCGGAAATGCGCAAGATCGATACGCAGATTCGCAAAATACAACGAGAGGAAATGAAAGTCAAACAAGCAGCCAAACAGGCGGCTCGTCAGGGCGACAACGTGGCTGTCCGCATGTTATCAAAGGAGATTATTCGCTCTCGTAATGCCGTGCGTCGCATGTACACCGCCCGAACCCAGATGAACTCTGTATCTATGCATTTACAACAGCAGGTCTCTCAGATAAAACTGGCGGGGAATCTTAAGAAGAGTGCCACTATTATGTCCCAGATGAATGAACTGGTGCGTATACGTGAGGTGCAGGAAGTGATGCAGGCGATGAGTAAAGAAATGGTGAAGGCCGGATTGATTGAAGAGATGATGAACGACACGATTGACGATGCCTTAGATGATGGGATCAGTGATACGGAGTTGGAGGATGAGGTGAGTAAAGTGGTGGAGGAGGTCACCCACGGCAAGATGGAGGGCGCCACCGCTGGACGCTCCAAGTTGCCACAGGCACAACAGACAGTGCAGACAACAGAAGTGGAGGAGGACGATGAGGACGATTTGATGGAAAAGTACAACGCACTGCGGGGAGGGACCAGCTAATCTCCTCTAATCCATCATTCTTTATCTCTCTCTCTGTCTGTCTACCCCTATGGCGTATATATATATATATATATATATATATATATATATAGATATCTAGTTGATTCTTTCTCTATTTCCTTTCTTTTTTTCTCTCTCTCTCTCACTCTGTGTGTGTGTGTATATATGAGGGAAGGGGATTGATAAAGAAAAGGTTAGAAAGAAAGAAAATATTATGCGGTCTCTCAGTTTTTGTTCTATTTATTTTTACAGTTTCCCATATCTTTAAAAAATTGGAGCGAGGAGTCTCTTTGCAGTGGTGAGTGTGAGAAGTAACTTCCACCATATACCTCTTTCTGTATTAGATTATTTATCCTTTTTTCTTTGGAGGTATTCTTTTTTTTTTTTTTAGAGTCTTTTCTTTCTCTTTTCCTGTGTTAGTTATTATTATTTCTTCTTATTCTTTCTACACTATTTGATTTTCAAGGCCTTTGCCTTTGTTTTAGTGACAGCAAGAAGAAGAAAAAAAAGAAAAAAGAAGGAATCGAGACGCACTAACAAAACAATAACAACAACAATATATAAAAAAAAGGCATTTACAGTAAAAAAAAAAAAAAAACAAAAAACGAAAGGAACATCTTCTTTGTTTCCAAATATCTTCTGCTACCCCATTTAGATTCAACCAACGAGAAAGGGAATCACCAGAAGTAGCAATAGCATTCTGTGGTTGCGCATCATTAATTGACAAAGCATACAGGCATATATATATATATATATATTCTTTTAAAAGGGTTGCTAACAAAGATTGCTATAAATATGAGTTCCAGTTCATTTTCGACATCTTCAACATCTTCGTATAGTAGAGATCACGAAGCTCAAAAAGGTTCAGGAGTTATGATATTCACTCCAGAACAGAAAGCCAAAAATTTATTACTACGCGATCGTGTAAAGGATATTTTACCTCTTGATGATATTCAGAAAGTCTCTGATTGTGACCTACTCTACCGATTTCTGATTGGCAAACGATGGAGTGTAGATGCAACAGAGGCGGCCATACGGACCTATGCAGCTCAACGAAAAGAGCAGAAACTCAATTATCTCATGATAGAAAAATACAACTCGGATGTTGAATCTTCAGGTGCTATGCTTTACGGATTTGATAAAGAAGGATGTCCTATTATGTGGAATACTCCAGATATACCTTTGGTAGTTTCAGCCATTAAAAATGGATATAAAACTGAATTACTACGGGTGCAAATGCGGGTAATGGAAACAGCACGTTTTCTATCTAAAGAAAAAAAAGTGGATCGCTGCACTCTTGTATTAGATCTATGTAATTTGGGAATCTCTGCAGTGAACTCCATGACACTTTCCTTTGCACGTGATATGGCTAAAATCATGCAGGAATATTATCCTGAGATTATGCGGCGAATGCTTATCTTTAATGCTGGTTGGGCTGTTACAGGGGCATGGAAAGTCCTTCGCCCATTTGTGGATCCCCGTGTGCAGGAGAAGATGCACTTCTTCAGTGGATCCCCCACATTAGAGTTATTATTACCATTTATTGATGCCGATCAAATCCCAGCCTCACGTGGAGGCAGCAGCATGAATGATATTGCAGGAACATTGATAGCATCAGAGGTATTGCGACTTACAGCCTTACGTGAAGAGGAAACACAACGTGGTGAAAGTACACCACTTAACCGATATGTTGATCCACAAACACCTCAGATGTCTTCACAAAAACGGAGTAGCTGCAAGACACCAATCCTATCAGGAGTTGTAGTACTTAAATCAGATGAGAAACTACAAAGAGAACAAGGTAAGGGAAAAGATAAAGAAATAAGATCACAATCAAGATCGCAATCACAATCACTATCACAAGCAGATTTTTCATTACCGGTAAATGAGTCTGTGTTGTCGCAACTGGTCCTAGAGGAAAAGGATGAGTTCTTCAGTGTATGTAGTTCCATCTCTACCGATAGTGAAGAGGAGGGGACTAGTCCACAATTGGTACAAATTGGTTCACCAGAGGTTCTTGCATCGGGTCAGTCACACCAAGATGTGATGGAGTCTTATGCTCTTCGTCCACAAGCTCGAGTAGAGAAAGGAGAGGATCAAGAAAAAGTGGTGATCAATTTAACTGAATGCGCAGATGGTAAAATTTTGGGCTTTATTGATGGAGTACCAATTGGTGAAATGGAAGATAATCTTGTCTACCGTGCTGTTCCCGATAGAATAATGGATATACTTGCACCGTGTCCAGTTTCTTCTTACCCTGAAGAGCGAAAGTTGGTAGGGGAGTTGCTTAGTGAATCTGGACATCGTATACATAATTATGTGATTGTTTGCGATGCTTCTCGTAAAGCTCGTTATCTTTTAAAGAAAAGCCGTTTACGTCGTCGTGTACAAGTTTTTACCTTCTCGGACAATTGCAAAGTTTTTACAGATAGCCTCACACGTCACACCGTTGTGGGGCGAAAAGTTAAATTTGCAGAATGTTTTCCTCATAGTGAGGCCACGAATGATCTAACCGCGTGGGTAATGAATGGGACATCTAGCAATAGCAGTAGTATGAATAATAATACAAGCAATAACAATAGTTCTAGCAAACGACTCAATAATAGTGGTAATGGTTCCAATAATGGTCGAAGCAGGAGTAATACCAGTGTCAGTGTGGTTCCTCGCTTGGTAGAGAAGAAGGGACAGACACTTATGGTCTACGGTGAACTTGCCAAACTCCCCATAATAGATCTCTTTACACTACTGGTGGGGGTTTGTCGGGTGTGGGAGGCAGACCTGCGGCGACCACAGGAGGGTGGGATACAGCGGGCAAAGAATATCTTCGGGGCACGGTTGGCAATACCCACAACGGAGATGTTCCGTCGACTGCTGCCGCGATCCACCCCGGCACCTGTGATGGGTGAAAAGGAAGAAGAAAATATTCACTGAATGAAAGGAGGGTTTTTCTTTTCTTTTATATATATATATATATATATATATATATATATATATGTTTTCTTTTTCTTTTTTCTTTTTTTTTTGATTTTTCTCTCGTTTCATGCTATGCTTTGGTACTTCCTTCTTTCTGTATATCATCTGTATTTGGTATTCCATTTATCAATGTGTATGCAAGAGGGATGGGGGAAGTGCGATGCACATTCACTGTTTCTGGGTAAACTATCAAATCTATCTCCTTTTCTTATTTATAGTGAAGATTTGTTTTATTCAATCACACGTTTTTTTTTCTTTTTTTTTTGCAGATGTTTATCTCTGTTTTCTATAAATATATATATCTATATATATATTTGCATTTATATAAATATATATATCTATATATATATTTGCATTTCTTTTAGTCGCTTTGTGTCCTCCATTCGCGTACGAACTGTTTTGCAAAAAAGGGAAAAAAAAATAGAAAAGAAACGAGCGCCGGAGAAGTAATAATAATAAGACGATATGTTTTCTTTTTTTTTTTTTTTTTATACCAATTTATTGCCCCCGCACCAGGTCAAACTACTTTTGGCCAATAGCCTGCTCTTATTTAATTTTTTTTTTTTTTCGTTTCTGCTCGACTGAAGAAGAAAAAAAAAAAAAAGAAAAAGTGTTTCCTCGCTTTCTTTTCCAGGTTTTTCCTTTCGAGCCTATAGAATTGCAAGTGGTAGGGAATGCATACGTACATGTATTATTTTTTTCTTGATTTTTTTTTTTTTTTTTTATGGATAGCCTAAATTTTTTATAATTCCCACGTTTCACATTTCATATTTTGTTTTTCTTCTACTTTTTCATGTTTCTTTAGTGTCTTCTTCTTTCTTTCTTTCTCTCTTTCTTTCTCTTTCTTTCTCTTTTCCTCTTTTTTCCTCTTTGGGTTGCTCATTGCTCTCATTTCTGGTTACTCTCATTCATTATCATCATCACCATTTTGCAGCTGACACCGCTGCTGTTACGATTACCAACACACACACACACATACACATACAGAAGTATAAATAAATAATTATATATATATATATATATATATATATATATATATATATACATTCATACGTATTCCACCGCAATAGATGCTGGAAAGGGAGCGGTTAGTAGAAAAAGACCGAGAGCCCGGTCTCTTTGGTCGTCTCCTGCGCAAAGTAGATGGCTGCGATGTGAAGTTCATCTTTGATGGAAAGATGGATGAAAGTATGGTCACCGTAGATGACCCGTACGAACGTACAAGCGAGCGAATGCATCTCTTCGCCAGCACAGAGCCGGTGCGAGGCCGTGTGATGCTCACACCAAAAGGAAATTACCGCCACAATGGAGTTCTCATAGAGCTCGTTGGAGTCATATCAACATTCGGGGAGAGTGTGCAGAAACTGGATTTTATGCGACAAGATAAACGTTTTGAACCAGACGCGCTGCGTAATCCAACACCACTTGAATTTCACTTTTCCGCTCCAAAGGAGTATGAATCATATCGTGGTATTAATGCACGGGTCTCTTATTTCCTTCGGGTGACGATTCAGAGACCTGTGAAGAATGTAACCGAGATGGAGGAAGTTTGGGTGAGTAGAGTAGATGAACAGATGAGTGATACCCAACCCGATGCCTCACGTCATCGAAGTTACTTTCGAGAAACTGTATTTGGTCCACAATCCACATCTATGGATGTTGGTGTGGATAATGTACTGCATATTGAGTTTAAGTATGATAAGAAAATCTTTCATCTAGGCGAGCGAGTACTTGGAAAGGTGACTTTTAAAGTAGCAGATATGGATATTAGGTATGGTGAGATTGGTGTAGTCCGGAAAGAATATATTGGCCCTGGTAAAACAACAGATTTAATGCAATCCGAAACACTACAGAAGTTTGAAATTATGGATGGAACACCTATTGTAGGAGAAGTGGTGCCTATTCGCTTATATCTTCGATCTATTCCGAATCTCACTCCAACCTATTCCAGTGTACATAACTGCTTTCGCGTATTATACTTTCTTAACCTGGTGCTTATCACAGGTGAGGGAAAACGATACTTTAAGCAGCAGGAGATTACACTCTACCGCAGGCGAGGACAGGACGCACCTGCGAGATCAAAGGCAGGTCTCTCTTGAGACAAGAACAAAGAAAAAAGAAAACAAAACATTATGCACGTAAACTACAACGTATATCGAACATAATAGTACAGCATTAGGAATGAATATGAGTCACTTTTGAAAAAGGAAAGAATAGAAGCTGTATTACACATAAATAAACCAAGAAAGAAAAAAAAAGAAGAGGGGAGCCGTGTATGAGAATGATGGCAAATATGGATAAAAGACTTTTATAGGATGTCGATCGAGAAAAGTAAAAAAAAAAAAAAGTCAAGAAAGAAGTGATTCTTTTTTTGTGTTATGCAAACAAGAACAGGGGGAAAGAATTTAAGAAGTATGTGCATGTTTTTTTCTTTTTTTTGTATTAGTTTTTTATTTTATTTATTGTTTTTCCTTTCTTAGTTGCTTTATTGTGTTTGTTCGTTGCTTTTTTCTGCTTTTTTTTCTCTAATGTGCCGAACATGAAATGAGGTAAAGAAGTAGAGAGAGGGAGTGTGTGTGTGTGTATGAAAAGAGCACCCATCCCCCAAAAGCAACAAACAAACAAACAAAGAAACAAATTGCATACATCTGCTTACTCTGGCTTGTGTATCATTAATAATGATTATACTACAGCAATAGTAATAGCTGCAAAAAATGTGTGGTATTACTACTATTATTATTAATTCCACTATGGGTACTACTACCCTTTTCTTTTTTTATTTCCTTTTCACACATCCTTTCTCTCTCTATCAGTAGTAATATAGAAACGCAGAAATACATTATATATATATACATATATATACACTTGCACACGTACACACATACGCATATAAACTTATCTCTCTCTCATGCGGCCCACCCTTCAATTGTTTGCTCCTCTTCTTCTTGCCGCTCTACCGCTATTTTTTGTGCTTCTCCGCACACTTCGGCGGCGTGCCAGACGGCGGCCCCTGCGGCCCGGCGGCGTCGCTCTCATCACCGGCGGCGGCAGCGGCATCGGCCTCGCGATCGCCCGCTATTTTGCCCGCGCCGGCTGCAGTGTTCTCCTCGTCGGCCGCAACGAAGACGCCCTCCGCAGCGCACAGACCGCCTGCAGAACATTAGGCGCCCCGAGCGCTGATGTGATTGTGGCGGATCTCTGCACAGTGGAAGGCACCAGCAAAGTGGGAGCGGCCGTGCGGGCCTGGCAGAAAGAACACGGGAGTGAAGAGCCATTTAAATATCTCGTGCTTAACGCAGGTGCAGGGGCAATTCTTCCGTTTGCCTCCCAACCATCGTTTTATACCGTATGTGAAGATATGATGCAGATTAACTACTTTGCTAATGTGCGTCTGCTGCAGCAATTATTGCCATTACTTGCGGAAACTCATTCAGAGAATGATCCATCAAGAGTTATCGTAATGTCATCACTGGCAGGCATTTTACCATCCACATTTCGTAGTGCCTATACAGCAGCAAAACACGCTATTCAAGGATTTATGAACGCCCTCCGTGGAGAAACGGATGTAGCCATTACACTCTGTTGCCCAGGATATGTAGACACGGAGTTTCACAAACTGGCTCAGCAGGGCGGTAGTATGGCCGGTAGTAATCATCGCCGTGGGGTCCCACCGGAGGTGTGTGCGGAACAGTGTATGTCGGGTGTCTTGCAAGGGGACGCAGAGGTGCTAACAACACTTACCGGTAGACTCGGCTACGTGCTACGGCCTATTTTCACCTCATTTATTGATAATCGAGCGAAGGAAATGAGTACACGATCACTGAAGTGAAAAAAGGGGTGTTTCTCACCCCTACTACAGGAACTCTCTTAATTAGTACACTATATTTAAACTAACAAGAAGAAAAAAAAAAAAGAGGCAAGACGAAAGAAAAAATAAAAGAAAAAAAAGGGATGCATACCGTTTGGTTTGCTTTGAGTGTCAAGGTCATTCTATTTACAAGTATGCTGTTTAACCCTTTCAGTCTCCTGTGTTCTATTTTTTTTTTTCTCTTTTTTTTGGTTTCTTGTTATCTATCACTTTCCTTCTATCTACTCTATTACGCATGCATACAAGCGTTGCATCATCATGAATACATTTTTTTTATTTTGTTTCTTTTTCTTCTATTTTTTTTTTCTCTCTTTCTCTTTCTCTTTTTTTCTATCTATCTGTATATTTTTGAGCAAGGAAAGAATCAACTATGGCCAAGTCTAAGAACCACACGAACCACAACCAGTCGCGGAAGAACCACCGCAACGGCATTAAGGGCCCAATGCCCAGCTATCTGCACAACTC